TTTTTTTTTGTATTCGCAATATATCACGACGAGTGCACGCGCTATCATCAATAAGAAACTCCCGAGTAGTTGCACTTGTACTTGGACGTTAGAGAAACAACGATAAAGTGAAGAAAATGGAATCAAGCCCAAACTAAAATTAATTCAATGCTTAAATATTTGCTTGTAAACATCAAATAGTAATTATTAATTTTATCTCGCTTGCGTACTTTCCTTATTTTTGACTTTGAATACTCATTGCCTGTTAATGGATGAAAATGCAGCAGTAACTCTGCCATCAAGATATATTTTCATAATTTCGCTGGTATATCAAAGGGCAAATTTAAATTTATATTTGGTACTTTATATATATTATATTTAAATGTATGTTATATATATTATAGTATATAATATAAATGTATAATATTTTTAATTGTTATTACATATATAATGTTATATATTTAGTATATTATATATACTAATTTATATTGAATAAAATTTTTCTAAATTTTTAACAAGATCGACGGCGAAAAAGCAGCAATTGATAGAACGGCGAAAGAGAAACAAGTTCTATCACATTTTATAACCAATATACATGTTATTCTATAATTGATATTTATCGAGAAGTCGATGGATTAAGAAAACAATTTATTTTCAAATCGATAAGACTTCGCGCTCTTAAATATAATAGTTTAATATCCGCGATACCGTGGCGTCGGGAACACAAACCGAACCATTGTCCGGCTGGCATCAAAATTATCGCGACCTGTCAAAACATATCTCAGTTCATGCATTATCGATCTCTTTCCAAGACGGGTGAGTGGGTCAACCGTGGTCGTGTGACACAGCGAATATGCGGGCGGGCCAGACTCGGATCGCGTTGCAGCATCACATAAATGTCGATCAAATAACGATTGAGATTATTTCGCGCAGAAGGTTTTCTATTTATCTTGCTCTCTCCTTCAAGATTCTGTAATAATTTATTATAGCCAGCTTTTTCTTATTTAGTCTGGTATATGAAATAATGTCAACAATCATCTATTATTAATTATAAGATATTCAATAGCAACGCATGCAATTTACAGTTTATATTTTTGTCTATTTTATTACACTTTATTAATATTGTATTTTTGCAATAAATTTTTTCAGCTACGCATTCTATTTTACTAAAATTTTGTTATTCAAAATTTGTTCATTTTTCGTGTAAAAAAAAATATATAGAAAGATGTAATTGAAATATATTTTATTAATTCTTTTTCCTTTTTTTTTCTTTTTGTCTTTTCGTCTTTCTCTATTATCGGATTTCGCCTACTGCTATAATATCGCGCAATTAACTTTATCAATTAGTGCGTCCGATTGCAAAATCTTGCGAGCGGATGTCGAATACGCTTGGCTCGCGATGATTAAGGCGATTAAACGTCGGGTAAACAGGCCGCGACTACGTCATGAACGGGAAAGTCAAGTTGAGGAAGTGGAGATTGTGGGAAAATGCGGCGGATTTCGAGATATTTGGAATTTTTTGCACCGTACTTGGCGACGCATGTAGGTACGTTTCATACTAATGGCGGAACTCACGGCTAATCTTCTACCAAGGCCGTAGCTCTGACTCAGCCAGAACAGCTGTTTGTCATAAAGAGCGCGGGAGATATCCGAGTCCTGCCTTAGATAGCGACTTCCTGCTGCCCTCGCTGCACTAGCGTGTGCAATTAGCGTCTCCCGGCGATACGCGACCGCGACGCGCGATTTCGATTTTGCGTAATTATCATATCTTCGTCGCAAGACTATCTGTATGCAGAGCGTACCGAGCCGGAAATACGTGAACTGCATGTCTGATGCGTCATCAGGTGCGATCATCTTAAAATAAGAAAAAAAAGATTGAATAAACTGATTATACTAAATTTATTACAGTGAATTTGATTATAGCGAATTCGATTGGAACCAGAGTCTCTATAACAGTCTGGCCACGAGAGATATTGTTAAAGTTCTGCGAGACAAAAAGGTATATATAATATAATTCTTGTCTGTATATATTATCTTATCACTTTAACTTACTTTGTCTCACCCTATAATTTTAATTAAGATATTCTAGAGAGTGAGCCAGTATAAATTAGAATGTGTACCTATACTGAGAGATAGATACTCTTAAAAAATTTATTTGTAGGATATAATATTTATTTTACTAAAATAAATCCTTATTTAAATACGACGAAATAAAATATTGTTCCTAGCAAATAAATTATCTATTTAATTTTTTATAATTAATAGATATATGTTTCACAGAAATGTATATTTCGCCATCAAATTTTTGTATAAATATTTTGTATAAATATTAAAGAAAATGTGACATATGTTTTCTGCGAATATTTCGACTCTTTTTCTTGGTTTATATAGAAAAAGATATGTACACTTTTCTCTCTCATAGGATTTTGATAAAATCGCTCGTTGCTAAATTCTGTTATATTATGCAAGTGCACTGACTTTCCACATAATACAATATTAATATGGAATAAAATATCTTTTCTGTGCACCGAAAGAATGATTTGTTGAAGTATTTAAAAATTTAGCTGGATATAGATATGAAAATAATTATGTTAGATCAAAATAATTACGTAGGAATCAAGCATGATGAGTAATACTGCAAAAAGATTTGGCATTCTAGCAATCAGTTTGATCGTCCTATATATAAAATTATTTTGATGAAACAAGAAAATTATTTTCAGATTTGTATCTAGCTGAATTATTAGATGTTTCAGCAAAATTTTCCTTTCTGTGTATAAAAATGTTGAATTAAATCGTGAAATCCTCACACATTTTTTGTGCTTTTCAGTAAAATATGTATTTTATAATTCAAAATATTTGCATTTCACTTTTATATTCAGATTAAATCAGTATACCGGATTTGATATACACCGATACCCAGTAGTGCGTCCAATCGAATTCGCTATTAGATAGCTGGACCTTTGAAATTTAATGCTAAAATAAATAGCATTGGTCTGAATGGTGGAAACGGACTGGTAAAATTAAGTGTGTAACTTATGCCAAGCTCGTAATTATTTCGAGATGATACAAAGTTTTATTGCTGCCGCTCATATTATATGGGAATATTATCGCATTGAAATGTACGCAATTAATTGCTTCACGCAAATTGTAACTGATGAAAGTACAAATATTAGTGGGACAGCGCTTCCGCCCCGATATTCGAATATGTTTATGGCGCATGTAAATGCAAAGTGTTTGTCGATTCGAGTTCGCTAATGAGGACAGAATTTAAATCGCGTGTTAACATCAAAAGCATAAGTATCGATTAATTTTGCTGTATCATTACTTATTTCACGATAGAAACTTTTACAAAAGATAGATATTTAATTTTATTTTCACGATAAATTATTTATTGGTATTTTATGTTAGTATCATTATTAAATCGACGATTAATTTAGTTGCGATATATAGGTATTATTATTTCAGGTTCAATTTATAATTGTTTTTCAAGTTCGACAGTAAGCGGCGCGCAGTTTATATAGCTGAAAGATGTATTAAGAATTTACATATAAAAATATTAGAAACTATTAAAATCTAGCTTTGATTGATGGCCCTTTTCTTATTTATATGATTTAATTTTGAACTTATAAATTTTTATAATTATACAGCTAATTTTTTTATTATATTTTACATGATTTTTTCTTCCCGTTATCAAAACGTTTTTAATTTTTACTTGTTATGGAAAAAGAGTCTACGATTTTTATTTGGCTTTGCCTTTATGAAATTTCTATTCGTCTAACTGGAAAAAAAAGAATAATTATACAATGAGATCCAATTACAACGTGCTAGAACTGCACATTCGAGTGTTTCTTGACGGTAAAGATCGATAAAAAGGAGAGAGAACGAAAAAGACAACTTTCCTCGCAGCAATCGAGATCTCGCAATCGTGTACAGCCGTGAAAATGGTCGAGTCACGCGAGCCGCGTATCGTCCGCATCGTTTCGTATCGTTTCGTGAGGACCCGGTTCTCGCGGCAATAAAGCCGCGGTGTGTATCGTGTTTGCGCGCACGCGAAATCCGTGGGTGCCTTAACGAGGTGGCAGAACTTTCGACGATTGCGACGCGCGACGCGTGTTACATGCGTGACATGACGCGTACAAACGCGACGGAGAACGACAGAGGAGGTGGCGGCGGCGAGGGCAGCAACGGCGGTGGTGTCGTTGGGCCCACGAAGAAGACCTTGATCCACGTAGGCAAGTATCAGATGCTGGGGCCTCTCGGCAAGGGAAACTTCGCGCGCGTCGAAGAGGCCATCCACACCGTCCTCGGAGTCAAGGTGAGTGTGATAAACTCGAATCACCGCCGGGAGCGAGTTGCGGCCCCGAGCCTCGCGTAAAACCCATCTCCACGCGCTCCCGCCTCGCCTCGCCGGCACGAAAACGGAGAACGCTCTCGTCCGCGCTGCGTTCTCTTTACGCCGTGCGAGAGGCGAAAGCTGCTCCCTCGCGGGACTGACATAAATCTTTCATCCCGACGCGGAACGTAACGCGATCGTGAGAACACGCGCAATGCGCGTCGAGAGGATGTTCACCCTTTAGGGCCGGACAGCCTTTGCGTAGACTAGTTTCTAGGATTGATTGCAACAAACAGAGTTGGTATTTATATTTGTTACAATCGAAAGCAACACTGATATTTTATACGATTAATTTTCGGTATCGAACGGTATCGATATTGAATATACACGATACGGTACTGTTATTGTATAATTTATGTCCGAGGAAATAGGCCACTCTTAACCTCTTCTGTCTGCAATTACATTTTACTCCCAACGTCTGTAACCTGAGTCTTTTTATTCAAGTTTTTTTCACCGTTCTCGGTTTTAAAAAATACTTGGTAAGACGGTAAAAAAAAACGAAAAAATTTATGCAGAGTTACTTTTCAACATCTCTATTACATCATGAAATAGTTTAACTCAAATGTTATAACCTTTATTTAATAAAAAATTGAAATTTAAACAAAGATAAAGAAGTTTGAGAATGAAATTTTACTCCAAGATTTTCATACATTTCATACTTTTAATAACAAAATATTTATAATGTAGACCTTTATAAATATAAATCACCTAATTATTAACTATTAAATTATTAACTAATTAAAAGACACGAAAGAAATAAGCACACTATCAAATTCAATCGTGAAACGATATATTACTCATATATTATATTACACCTATAATGAGAGAATTAGATATCTGAATCGCAAAACAAAATTATCTGTAATAGTATTCATGTATAAATCCAATTGCACTAATATTTCGCATGATTGTACTAATAATTGTAATATGCTTACAACGCATATTTACTAATAAAATATACACTAAATTGCTTAAAAATTGAAATCATTTATCAAGCTCTTTGTTATAATACTATTCACTGCTGATCACTACAAGCATAGCTTAATCCTCAATAACCTCGCTCATTTGCATGTCATTTATGTACGATAACGATCTAGTTAAACTTATTGCGAAATATCATTGTGAAGAATTTAGATTGTTCCAACGTTTAAAATTCTCTCTCTCTCTCTTCTCTCTCTTTCTCATCAAACTTTAGAGAGAGAGAGAGAGAGAGAGAGAGAGAGAGAGAGAGAGAGAGAGAGTTTCAAGCTTTGCTTAAAGTCAAAGTAACATTGGTGCGATCAGGCCTTAGTTCTTTTTATTACGTTAAGACACGTGGCTGTGAGACACGAGTGAGTGGTTTAAGAGCGTGTTTTTCTAAAATCTTTATAATTATTTTAACGCAAGTTTATTCCACAGACGTCGAGTGTGAATTTATGTCCTTTGTGAATTATGCGTAAGCTCTGTAAGGCATAAATCTGCCTGTTCCACGTGTACTCTTCTGAAGCGATAATCTTTTTAAGTGACCGCAGTCATTTCAATCACGCATAAATTATAAAAATTACTCTGCATAATGAGACGTCTAGGTATTAACACTCGATTTAAAATCTTGTCAACACGCGTAATATTTCAGTGAATAATCCCGATATTATGTAATATAACACGTGTCCGTCGGTTGCTCTGTTTTTAATTTCATCGAAAAAGAATCGTTTCGAGCTTACGTCAGATGAGCAAGCAAAGAACGCTGGATCGTCTTTTCGTCGTATTAATCATTCCGCGATGCGCATCACACGTATTTCCGGAGCGGGCATTGAATCATTCGTCTGGAATCCGTGCACCGAAAGACTCACGTAAATAACAGAAAGATCTTCCAAAAGAAATAGAATAAGATCCGAATAAATAAAAAAAAGGACGAAAAATTTAACCATAGCTGCACTTCCATTCGATTTCTTCGTATGTTTCACACTAAGTAGTTTCTGAACACAAACATGACATGATTTGAGTATTTGATATTGCATGCGATGAAAGACGAGAGTTAGGTTTCCGAACGTTTCCTACTCTTTGTGTCATCCTAAATACCAGCAAGAGAGATTTTTCTCTCTGGCTCATTCTTCTCTTTTCTTTTCTGTGTGGGAACCTTTCCATTAAAATATTCTTCCCGAAGATTATCTGATACCCGATCGATCGATGATCACGGAATCCAGACTATGTCGGAAGACCGCTGTCCGGGATTCATTCCCTGATTTATTCCGATACACGATTTTAATTTGTATATTCAGCCGCTAGAACGGATAATTTATCCCCTAAATGGTTTAAAGCAAATCATGAAAATAGATCTCTCATGATAAGATACAACCATTTATAGCTCATCAATTTTTAATCTTAATACAATAATCTTGGTAATTGATTGGAATCTTGAAAATTGAAGTCTACTTCGACTTGACCGATAAACAAAAAGTCGTTTAT